GATTTCCCTTTTAGGAGAGTGCTCTGTGGTGGTTTTTCCTCATGGTGTGTTCCCAAATACTCCTGCTCTACAGAAGCAGTCAGGCAGCAGTCTACTCCAGGTCATGGGAAGGGCACACTAGAATATGAATCATTCAAAGGAACTGGTAATTAGGAGGCCTGTTAAATAGAGGGGAAATTAAAGAATATCCCTTTCCCTGTGGCAGAGAAAAATTACAAACTACGGAAAGATTGGAGAGAGGGTATTTTATGCTCGAGCTCTAAATGGATCCCACTCTGCAATCAGCTGCAGCAAGCACAGCCTTCCCCAGCAAGGCTTTTCCAGACCTTACAACAGCTTGCGTCTTCCATCTATTTTTGGTTTTTCTCTTGCCCTGGTTTCCATAGTATCTGAATGCTTCATGCTCTTAAATATATCTGACACTTGCAGCACCTTGGTGAAGTAGGAGGTACAAAGGGCCTTGCACTTTGGAGCTGCTGGATCTGGAACAGCCTGGGGATGTGTGGAAGATGTGGGGTGGAGTCCTGAGTGGAAAATGTGCTTTTCTAGAGGCTGGATTTGTCACTGCTGGGTTAGCCTTTCATTAGGGATAGCAGGAGAAAAGAAATCCTCATAAAACTTCTGAAAAATATTTGAAGGGCTCAGTGGTGCAGCTGCTGGGAGCAGGGGTGGAGATGAGTAGGTCTGGTGATTGCCACACTCTCCTCTAATCCTCTCTGCTTTATTCAGGTGCCACATTTCCTTCTCTCAAGTAAGTGAGAACATGAGGACAACAAGGTTATGTCCCGAAGCCAGGTTGCTCATGTTGTGGGCTTATTCCTGTGGAATATTTTTAATGTAATATCTTAATAGTGTAATGGGGAGTAACAGGAAGATAAAAAATTTACCAAAAAGAAAGAGATGAGTGAGAAGCAGATGCTGTAGGGATGACCCCAAGAAGGTAGAAATGCTCAGTCCTTTTATTTTTAAGGGGTACCCAGAGGAAAGCATGTGACAGAAACAACCATCTCTGTGCTCCAGGAGTGTTTGGGGAGCTGAGGGAGAAGCCAGATCAAATCAGCAGAGTGTAATATCTTTGCTGATTAAAACCAGGTCCAAACTGAACTCAATCAGCTCAATTGAATATTGCATGATTGTAGAGCTGAGGAGTTGACTCTCATTATTTGGGAAAGGACAGCCCTGTGCCATTGTTTCCTGACCAGCTTGCTCTCAAGCACTGGAAGAAACAGTTTGCACATAACCCAAACTTCTTCCACAAGGTGGTGTGGTTTTGTTTTTTTGTTTGGGTTTTGTTTTGTTTTTAAAATCAATCCTCAAAGAACAGCTGCTCTTGATCCCAAAGATATCTGGAATCTGTGAAGGTCATTTACAATTCACCCACTGTGACAACTTGAGTCAAAAAATCCACAAGCCTTAAAACTTAGTTAATTTTTGGGTTCTTGCAAAGTTAAAATGTTAAAACTCCCTAACTCTGAATTGGTTGGTAAAACAGATATTCAGTAAAAGCTAAACAGCAAGGTCTTGGTGGATGAGACAGCATAAAAGCTGATGGCAAATAATATCCTTTTACACAGGATATTTTCTCTTAGGCTGGCAGTCTGGCTGTAGAATAGAGTCTTTAACACCAGGCCAGAAGAAATCACATTACAGGAATAACTTTTATCTCCCTGAGATACTGTCTTATTGCTTGGATATTTTCTGCCAGGGCTGTCTTACCTAGTCCTTTGGCTATTCTGCCTGGGGAACAAATAGGTAAAGGAAGGCAGGGAAGGCAGACGGATCCTTTTTTCCTTTTTTTTTTTCCCCTCCTTTTTATTTTTTTTTTTTTTCCTCCCTGGGCTGTGGTGAGGATTTTCTGCCTTAAATGGTGTCTCCTAGGTGATGTGGAAATTCAGAGCTCCAGCTTGTATTTTCTCCATTCCTCAGTGCCTTTAGGAGCTGGAAGGACTGGGCAAGGCACTCCTAAGGCAAAATGTACCTGGCTGTTCCTGCACTCTTTATTTGAGCCCTTCTCAGATTTGGGCCACTGGACTGGACCTCTTCACCTTTCATCTTAAGCTGCTCCATCTAAATACAAATACCCATATGCCTCAAGACCAGACAAGTCTAGATGTGTGTAAGGAAAATATTTTGGGTGTTTTTCACTAGCAAATGTCTCTCTGCAAAAGAGAAACTGCTTGGGTATACAATGAGGTTTTCTTCTTTCAGCTCTTTTTTTGAAGCAGCATCTCAGGTTTGGGCAGAATCTGTTCCCTCACCCCCTGGGAATGGTGCATCTGAGCTCTGCTGTGCTCCTTCTAGCACTCTTGTGTAGACTCCTCCATGACAGATGCAACATGTTTCTTCTTCCTCTGCACAGGTGACCTGTCATTTCCCTTTTTCTCCATCTCTGTGCTAGGATTCCTTTTATCTTCCCCCTAATCCTGTTACTCTGGTATATAATTCTCTGTCTGGCTCTGTAAACCAGGTCCTGATTGACAGCTGTTCTGTTTTTCATTTATGTATTTTCATGTCTGTTGTTCTTTACTGCAGCCAGGGTGGTTTTTGTATGTCCATTCATGGACTCCAGAAGAGACTGGATTTATCTTTCCTTCTAAACAGACATTTTCTACCTGAGGCACTGGGTCACTTGAGCTGTAACAAAAGCCTAGAGCAGCTTTTGCTGCAACAGCTGATGTGAAAAAGCAGGCTAGGCATGCAAAGGTGCCTGAAAACCTTACTTGCTTTGGTGTGATTTGTCCAAGGTGAGGATTGCTGCTGTTGCCATAAAGCTTTCTTGTTTTAAACATTGCCTTATCTGCTTGCAGCTGTTAAAAATGAGAGCAGCTTGACT